GGAAACCCCCCCCCCCCCCCCCCCCCCCCCCCCCCCATGATTCATTTTTTTAGCATACAACCTCCTAAACAGGGGTACTAATTGCTAAAAACAATTAAATCATAAGTTTTTAAGGCGATTCGATATAACACATAGGGTACTAATTACAATAAACTCAAGTTCAATATACATGAAAACAAACGAGAGATGCGCTTACAGTTGCAGAAGCCCATAGCCAAGCCTTAAATGTTGTGAGTCGATTCTTGAAATTAAGTTCACACATAAGAGGAGTTGCTTCTTCCCACTCCTTTTCTTCTTTATGAACGGCCTTCTCTGCAGTCCATATTGCATCGTCAATCTACAAGTGATTTTTATATGCTTAAAAATCATTTTTATTTTGGAAAATAATTCCAAAACACCGGAAAATAATTGAATCGGTAACCGAACCGGACCTGCAACGCTTCTATCTCGAACCGATCAAAACTCGCGAGCAAGTCATAACTTCGTGGTAATTGCTTTAGGTAAGTGTACCAAGAAGAACTCCGGCCCTTGTTCGCTTCATTTAGTAAAGCAACGGACAATATCTAGGCCAAAATTAAAAGACTAGCCAATATCACTTATATGTTCATGAAATGCCACCATTTATCAATCTTGGGCCTCGTTTGGTTCCTAGGATAAGATTAACCGAGATAAAATTGAATAATCTTACAAAAACCCAATTAAAACAATGGAATGTCCAAGATATATAGTTTCACAATTGGCCATTTTTCACACTAATTGAACTAAACAAACATCCAATAAGGTCCGATTACTCAAATAATCATATGGCTAAATCATACTAACCAAACGAGGCCTACTTGATTACAATTGACGAAATGCTCAAGACAAAATCATATATCTTGAAGTTCAAAGTATATATATCTCATGGCAAAAAGACTAACAAAGTGGTCTCATCAAATTAATATCCCTACTAAAATAAAGGGTATCCAAATAAATAAAGGGCAAATTGCATGTCACCCCCTATACATTTTTAATTTTCGCACTCTACCCCTAAAAATTTAAAAGAATGAATGTCCCCATTCAAAATGTTATACTTGTTGCCCCGATAGCAAAATTCTGAACAATTATTAACCTGAATTGAGTCTTTTTCTTGCACGTTGCCCCTTTAAATTATATTTTTGTTGCACGTTGCCCCATAAAAACATTATTTCTCTACACATTGCCCCTTTAAAAATGTTATTTTTGTTGCACAGATACCCACCGAAAATTAGCTTTTGGGGCAAAGTCCAACGAAAACAATATTTCGAGGGGGTTGTCTCCTTTCTGAATTTCTTGGGGGTGAAGTGCATTTTGTCCATAAAAAAAAATTAATAATAATAATAATAATAATAATCACCTGATTAGAAGAGAGTGAAGGGTAGTTCACCAAAGCAGAAGACAAAATCGGATCATCGTTAATTAGACGGTCGCTTGTAATCAAAGCCGCCTTAGGAACTCTGAGGACCAATTCCCCTTTCCTTAAATCACGCGCCGCAGCTAAACCTCTCCTACAAAGAAGTGATTTTTATTACAGTTAGTGATAGAAATACATACATACATATGCAGAAATATTCAGTATACCCGCCGGCTTCAGGAAAATGGGAAACGGACAAAGAATGGCCGAGACAAGAAGAGGAAGAAGGGTTGTCGGAAATTGGAGTGTCTGAGATTCCAATTGCAGCACCCCATTCAAGGAAGCTTTCTAGGTTTGCTTCTTCCATTTTCTTTTTTCTTTTTTTTTTTTTTTTTTTTAATTAATATGATTTTTGCTGCTCTTTTAGAGTTTAAAGGAGAGATGGGCTGTTGTTTGTTGGAAGTGGACTAGTTAATTGAGTTTGGGCTTCAAACGATTTAGATCTAAAGTTTAGCTTTTTTTTTTTTATTGTATTTTAGTTACTATTTTTTAGTAAACTATTATATTTTACTATTTTTTAATACTTAGTTATAAGAAATAATATATACTGTTTCGCCT